GGTAACATGTTCCCACTGCTGCACCCTCTCCCCAATCTACCACCTCTAGTGACAGTGGAATCTTCTCCCTGAACTTGCTGTCACAATTAAAAAATAAAATGCATCATTCATTCACAGACTTCTGTGAATAGGAAAACTACAAATACCGTCAGTCTTTGCAGCTGATGGCCTGTAAGTTTCAATGAACTACCAGAGCAATGGTGGATGCTCTAGGAAGTTCAATGATGGTTCCTGTTGTGTATCTGCCTGCCTGTATGAGGTACGGGCAGACAGCTTACACTGACAGTCTGCGGGAGCTTTGCATTGCAACCGTGATTTGCTGATCGCGGGTGCAATGCATTACAGACACCTAATAAAAAAAATAATGCACACTCTTTTACCTGCAAAAAAGAGGTGCATTTATTTATTTTTTTTAATGATGAGGAGATGGGAGGTGCCCCCCCTCACACACAGTGACCTTAGCCCACAAGGTCCCTATGTCTGACCGGCAGCCATCTTTGGAATTTTATGTAAGTTGAATACTTGTTTTTATTACGCCTTTTGAAATAAAAATACTACACTATCAGATACCTCTCTCCTGGGCTTGTTTATGCTACGAGCCCCCCCAAGGTGATTCCTGACACATGAGAGTGTGCAACATCCCCCTGGTGGCTGATGACGGGAGGTGATTCCTGATATAAGAGAGAGTGTAACATCCCTCTGGTGGCTGATGACGGAATACCAGGAGATGACACAGAGTACCTGGAGGTTGCTGACCTGATGACCATTCATGTTGCAGTGTCTCAGATCCAGTAACCAGGAGTAGGTCTTATTTACTCCAATGGTTCTGGTTAGTGCAATCAACATTCATTCTCTATACCACAGATGTGACGGATTTCTCCTATTATTTTGCAAACTCCAATGGATAGATTGACTTTGGCACCATTGTCACCATATACACTTTGCTTTGTCTTCAGGATATCTAGCATATTTTCACATTATTGGTCTCTGCACCAAGCCTCTTATTGCTCATCTGCTTATGTATATCATGTATACTGTATTTTAGAATTTATTATCTAGCTTTTAGCGCTGCATATTTTATGTTTAAAGACTGTAAGGTAACCATTTTTTTTAATGAGAGGTGCTTTGATTTGTATCCAGAGTGCATTAAAAGTGTAAACAAGCCCTAAATGTATAATTTGGTCAAGTTATTTGAGAATCTGTAGTCTTACATAAGTTTTCTTTTGGATAAACACTAATTAAATGTACAGAATTATATCAGTATGCGCTAAGGTTTATAGTTTGTAATTTCAAATGTCATGTGAGGACTGCAAAAACAAATTAAGTTAAACTAAGTATTTTTTTTTAATCATACACATGGTTGGTGTAAATAATCTTAATGCTCGTTAATTTGTTTTTTAGGTTCTGTAAATAAGCATAAAACACAAAAGTGAGCGCTATAGGTGAGCTGCTGTAACACCACAAAAAGGTACCAAAAACCTGCTGAGACCAATAAGACGAAGTAAAGGTGCACTGCAAAGATCAATATTATTATTATACAGTATTTATATAGCGCCAAAAGGTTTGCTCAGCGCTGTACAATATAGTGGGGGACAGTACATGAGACAATACAGTAACAAAATACACGAGGGGTTCGAGGGCCCTGCTCCTTCGAGCTTACAATCTAGGAGGGAGGAACTCTAAAATACAATAAAGTGCAATGTATCCAAAACATATAAACCAGCAGGAAACAATGGTTATGTTACTCTTCAACTTTTGTCTTTAAAGTGAAGATAGTGCTAATGAAGGTGACAAGTAAATCAGTGCTGGCAGATATGTAAAGTGACACAGTGTAAATAATCCTCCTTAAAGTGATTAATAGTGCCGATAAAGTGACAGTGAAGTCCACATATATTAATAAACATGTTGTTCCAATATGAGATCTCAGATAAAGGTGATCCTCTTTCTATCTTCTGATGATATATAGAAATAATGGAATTGCGCACTCACCAGATGCGCAATAACATCACGCATTTGAGAACACAATTTCTCAGTAGGTCAGCTGGATCCTCTTATGGACATCTATACCCTGGTATGGACTCCCCTCTGGATCATCAGTGGAATGCAGCACCTCTCACCTCCTCCTTAGATGGCTCTGTGGGTGGTTAGGCTCCAAAAAAGGATGCCAGAATAGCGTGATACTGCTGTATAGTGTCACACGGAGTCGGTGACCCGGGACAGCGCAAGGCAAGGTGTGTTCTCTGCACATTGATTGATCCGCGGAGCTCAGGTAATCAGTGTGCAGAGAACACACCTTGCCTACGGAGGAGGTGAGAGGTGCTGCATTCCACTGATGATCCAGAGGGGAGTCCATACCAGGGTATAGATGTCCATAAGAGGATCCAGCTGATCTACTGAAAAATTGTGTTCTCAAATGCGTGATGTTATTGCGCATCTGGTGAGTGCGCAATTCTATTATTATTTTATATATCACCAGAAGATAGAAAGAGGATCACCTTTATCTGAGATCTCATATTGGAACTTCACGTTTATTAATATATGTGGACTTCACTGTCACTATTAATCACTTTAAGGAGGATTATTTACACTGTGTCACTTTATATATCTGCCAGCACTGATTTACGTGTCACCTTAATTAGCACTATCTTTACTTTAAAGACAAAAGTTGAAGAGTAACATAACCATTGTTTCCTGCTGGTTTATAAGTTTTGGATACATTGCACTTTATTGTATTTTAGAGTTTATATTGATCTTAGCGCTGCACCTTTACTTGGTCTTATAGGTTCTGTAAATAGTTTATAGATGTGCATGGAGGTTTTCATATTTTTTACTTATATATAAAAGGTATCCTATCTGCATAGCAGTGCTGCACAGTGATTGTGCTTTACAGTTCATCTCAATATGCTGGGCTTCTCAGTCTGACTTAATTGGCAATCAGTCAGCAGGGAAGATCATTGCATTTTTTGTCATATAGAAACCCACACATTTATATACGAAATGAAACCAAGTCTGTAAGAAACAGAAAGTACAAACAGAAAAGCAACATAAAAAGATACATTTTGGTAAATGGTATTCACTAAAATCACCATGCAATTCCCCTCATGCACATATGTGTGCGCATGTAGAAACATACCTCCAGTAATGTTCACTGAATACATCTCATCTACACCTGGCTCCATTGCTCCAGTTGGTAAAGGAGGGGCCAGCATTGTCGGAGCTGGGGGGATTGAAGGATCAGGTCTATAAATGAGAAAAAAAAAATTATAAATCATTTGGTAGGATCCATGTTTACATGCACAAGTTTCTTCTGTGAGTTAAGATTAGGATCCTTTGTTTTTTCCCATTTTCCAATGCCATTTCCCTTGTTTTAGGTCAGTGATTGTGTGACAGACAAGGCAATCATTTTCACTACCTTACCTTTTATTATGGATATTTTAGAAAACGTAAACACAGATAAACATGTTTTTAGTCCAGTCTTTATCTGCAAACAATCATACTAGCATGCATAAGCAGAGGTGACCTTCAGACTTAAGGCTGGGTTCACACATATGCGGTATATCGCATGTGATCCGCACAGGATCCGTACCGCATGCATGTGCAAATCACATGCAAATTGTGTGCGGTGCGATTGCAGCCATACCAAAAAGGTACAGGACCCTTTTTTTGGTCCGCACTAGAATTGGATCGCATGGGTATTCACACCCATGCGATCTGATTCTGCACAGCGCACCAATTTTGGGGGTGTTGTTAACACACACACCCGCAGCGGTTCACATGAACAGGGTGCAATTATGATGCAGTGCGGAATTCGCACAGAAAACAGTGTGAACCCATTGCCAGTAAAAATGTCAATGTTCAGGAATATCCTCTATTTCTGTGTAAGAGCCGGTCCACACCTGAATCGCACAGGAACACGCTTTCCTTGTGGGATTCAGAACAGTATGATTTTGCAGCTTATTAATTTGAAATGGGTACTGTAGTACTATGCTATCTGGTGCAGGGAATTGCACTGTGTTTGGGGTGCCGTTAACAATGAATTGACACTTGCAGCACTAAATGAGCATGGAACACACCTTTCCTGCACAACATTCTGGTGTGAACCAGCATTCAGTTTAGTTTGGACCAGCTCCCTTCTACCTCCTAAACTTACTATAAGTTCTTTAACCACTTGCCTACTGGGCACTTTTACCCCCTTCGTGCCCAGGCCAATTTTCAGCTTTCATCGCTGTCGCACTTTAACCACTTGCCTACCAGGCACTTATACCCCCTTATTTACCAGGCCAATTTTCAGCTTTCAGCGCTGCCGCATTTTGATTGACAATTGCGCGGTCATGCAACATTGTACCCATATGAAATTTTGATCATTTTTTTCTCACAAATAGAGCTTTCTTTTGGTGGTATTTAATCGCCACTGGGCGCTTTACTTTTTGCGCTATAAATACAAAAGGTGCAAAAAATTTGGAAAAAAAAAAAAAGTTTCTTTGTTTCTATTATAAAATTTTTCAAACAGGTAATTTTTCTCCTTCACTGATGTGCGTTGATGAGGCAGCACTGATGGGCACTGATAGGCGGCACTGATGGGCACTGATAGGCAGCACTAAAGGGCACTGATAGGCAGTACTAATGAGGTGGCACGGATAGGCGGCACTGATAGACAGCACTAATGAGGTGGCAAGGATAGGCGGCACTAATATGCAGCACTGATAGGCGGCACTGATAGGTGACACTGATGATGGGTACTGATAGACGGCACTGACTGGCATCACTGCTCGGCACTGACTGGCACAACCGCTGGGCACTGACTGGCAGCACTGCTGGGCTGCACTGGTGGGTGGCACTGGTGGGCAGCACTGGTGGGTGGGCACAGGTGGGTGGCACTGGTGGCACATGTGGTGGTGGCACTGGTGGGCACAGGTGGGTGGGCACAGGTGGGTGGCACTGCTGGGCACAGGTAGGTGGCACTTCTGGGCACAGGTGTGTGACACTGCAGAGTGGCACAGGTGGATGCACTGCTGGGCACAGGTGGGTGCACTGCTAGGCACAGGTGGGTGATCTGCTGGGCACAGGTGGGGCGGAGTTAGTGGGCGCACTGCTGGGCACAGGTGGGCGGAACTTGCGGGTGGCATTGCTGGGCACCGATCATCAGGGCACTGATCATCAGTGCCCTGATGATCGGTGCCGATCCTCGCTCTGACAACTGCCGGTTCTCGGCAGTACTTTCCTCACGATCTGACAGCGTGAGGAAAGTGCAGCCGAGAACCGGCACTTGCATTTCCCTCTGATCAGCGTGTCATTGGACACCGCTGATCAGGTGGTAAAAGGCCGCTGTGATTGGCCTTTTACCACATCACGTGATCAGCTGTGTCCGTAGGAGAGCGCGTTCTGGGGACGTCATATCGCCGGTGCGCGCCCCCTGGGGCGCGTAGGAGAGCGCGTTCAGGGGGACGTTATATGACGTCCACTATCTGGCGGTCGCAGTGCCGTTATACTAGTTAAATGACAATTGCGCAGTCATGCAACACTGTACCCAAATGAAAGTTTTATAATTTTTTCACACAAATAAAGCGTTCTTTTGGTGGTATTTAATGGCCACTCTGTGTGTTATTTTTTGCACTATAAGCAAAAATGAGCAAAAAATTAAAAAAAAAAAAGTTTTTCTTTGTTTATAAAATTTAGCGAACAGGCAATTTTTCTCCTTCACTGATGTGCATTGATGAGGCTGCGCTGATAGACAGCACTGATGAGCACTGATAGGCAGCACTGATGGGCACTGATAGACTGCACTGATAAGGCAGCACTGGTAGGCATTGATGAGAAGGCATTGATAATGCTGCACTGATATGCAACACTGATGGGCACTGATAAGCGGCATTGATGGGCACTGATAAGTGGCACAGATGAGCACTAATGGGCGGCGCTAACTGCCGGCACTGATGGGTGGCACTGCTGGGCACTGATGGGCGAAACTGCTGGGCAGCACTGATGAGTGGCACTGATGGGGAGCACTGATAGGTGACACTGCTGGGCACTGGTGAGTGGCACTGCTGGGTGGAACTGCAGGGCACTGATTATCACTGTGACAGGGTGAGGAAAGTGCTGCGGATAACCGTAAACAGTATTTACTGGACACAGCTGATCATGTGGTAAAAGGACACAGCGATCATGGAGATCTCCAGGTGCACGCCACTGGGGGGCATGCGGGAGGGCGTGTTCTAGGATGACATCATATGACGCCCTCCCAGAACTGGACAACTACGCTGTAGCCGTCATTCAGCTATAGCGTGGTTGTAAAGTTGTTAATGTGATAGGTTTACCTAGTGACCAATCAGGAGGCTTGAGAAATGGGGTTAACCTCAACTACTCTCCACTGACCACCAATGTATTGGGGCACTTTTCCACTGCATACAGTGCCTTGCAAAAGTATTCATATCTCTTGAAATTTTCCACATTTTGTCATGTTACAACCAAAAACGTAAATGTATTTTATTGGGATTTGATCTGATAGACCAACACAAAGTGGCACATAATTGAAAGAGGAAGGAAAATGATAAATGGTTTTCAAAAATTTTTAACATATAAATATGTGAAAAGTGTAGCATGCATTTGTATTCAGCTCCCCCGAATCAATACTTTGTAGAACCATCTTTTGCTGCAATTACAGCTGCACATCTTTTTGGGGATGTCTCTACCAGCTTTGCACATCTAGAGAGGGACATTTTTGCCCATTCTTCTTTGCCAAATAGCTCAAGCTCTGTCTGATTGGATGGAGAGTGTCTGTGAATGACAATTTTCAAGTCTTGCCACAAATTCTCAATTGGATTTAGGTCTGAACTTTGACTGGGCCATTCTAACACATGAATATGCTTTGATCTAAACTATTCCATTGTAGCTCTGGCTGTATGTTTAGGGTCGTTGTCCTGCTGGAAGGTGAACATCCATCCCAGTCTCAAGTCTTTTACAGACCCTAACAGGTTTTCTTCTAAGATTACCCTGTATTTGGCTTCATCCATCTTCCCATCAACTCTGACCAGCTTCCCTGTCCCTGCTGAAGAAAAGCATCCCTACACCATGATGCTGCCGCCACCATGTTCCACGGTGGGGATGGTGTGTTCAGGGTGATGTGCAGTGTTAGTTTACTGCCACACATAGCGTTTTCCTTTTAGACCAAAAATGTCATCTGACCAGAGCACCTTCTTTCACATGTTTGCTGTGTCCCCCACATCGCTTCTTGAAAACTGCAAACAGGACTTCTTATGGCTTTCTTTCAACAATAGCTTTCTTCTTGCCACTCTTCCATAAAGGCCAGACTTGCGGAGTGCACGACTAATAGTTGTCCTGTGAACAGATTCTCCCACCTGAGCTGTGGATCTCTGCAGCTCTTCCAGAGTTACAATGGGCCTCTTGGCTGCTTCTCTGATTAATGCTCTCCTTGCCCATCCTGTCAGTTTAGGTGGACGGCCATGTCTTGGTATGTATGTAGTTGTGCCATACTCTTTCCATTTTCAGATGATGGATTGAACAGTGCTCAGTGAAATGTTCAAAGCTTGGGATATTTTTTTTATAACCTAACCCGCTTTAAACTTCTCCACAACTTTATCCCTGACCTGTCTGGTGTGTTCCTTGGCCTTCATGTTGCTGTTTGTTCACTAATGTTCTCTAAACAAACTACTGAGGGCTTCACATAACAGCTGTATTTATAGTGAGATTAAATTACACACAGTTGGACTCTATTTACTAATTAGGTGACTTCTGAAGGCAGTTGGTTCCACTAGATTTTAGTTAGGGGTATCAGAGTAAAAGGGGGCTGAATACAAATTCACGCCAAACTTTTCAAATATTTATTTGTAAAATATTTTGAAAACCATTTATCATTTTCCTTCCACTTCACAATTATGTGCCACTTTGTGTTGTTCTATCACATAAAATCCCAATAAAATACATTTATGTCTTTGATTTTACAATGACAAAATGTGGAAAATTTCGAGGGGTATGAATACTTTTTCAAGGCATTGTAATTACCAAGTATCCTGGATTTGCTGGGATAGTCACACTTCGTAACTACTTGTCCCGTGATGTCTGCATCCCTGGTTGTATCCCAGAAATGACAACTTGAGTAAGGCATCTCAGTTGACAAGTATAAATATGTATGATACCATGCTATAGGAAACAAACCAGCATGTAGGGTTGGGCTATAGGTGGCGCAGGTATCAGAGAATACTTGGTCAGAGGCTTTCCTGCTTACCGGATCTATCAGGTCACTTTGCACAGTGTATGGTATGGGTGCCACTCTCGATGCTACAGCCTTGCTATATGCCCAGCGATGGGTAACTGGTTTCTCCAACCTTGCCAGGCATATAGATGTCATTGCTTCTCACTGTGTTTCATGGTCCTCTGAGAGATGGTTGAGCTGGGAGGAGGGGGTGTGGGGGGCACTGGGTGTGGGGATTGCAATGAGAATCATCACTGACAGTATGTGTGGTAGAAAGGGGGGATGAGGGTGCTGTAAGGTGTACTGGTGGAAGGGGGTAGGTGTAGCCCTTTCTGTGTCCGCACCACCTAGCTGAAAAACTGCTCTCAACTTCCTTTCTGCATTAAGAATGTGTTTTTGCTCAAGCAGTCTACTTCAAATACCCCCCCTTCCAACTCTTCACCCCCTGTTCCCCTCTTCACTCCCATCCTTCCCTTCACTGCCCTGTCCTCCTCCTCACCTTCCTGTTTGCTTCACCTTCCTATCCCCCTCATAACCCTATATATCCCCCTCCTCACCTTCCCTTCTTCCTTTAAACTTCCTCTCTCCTCTCTTTGCCTCCTTGTCCCCTTAATCACTCCCATGTCCCCCTATTTACCTCCCTTTTCCCTCTTCACCTTCCTATTTCCACTGCAAACATGACCAGTTTGGTGCAGTATGATTTTGAAAATGGTGCAGGTAAACGTTGTGTGCATTTCTTGCACACAGGACTGCCCATTAAAATTACTGAGCTGCCCTAAACGCAACATTCGGATAATTGCAAGAATGCGCAAAAAAGCATGCATTCTCAGTTTTACTTTCTGGTGTGAATGGGTCCCAAAAGTTGTGATTAGATAAAAGAATACATAAATCAGTTTACTAATGAACAATACCTTCTGTGCCTATTATGATACATTTTATTGTATGTGTATACAATATACTGTACATATACTGTTTTTTGCTTTATCCAGGAATATTTGCAATGTATAATATCCAAGCAAAAGATATAACACCAACATGTCACAAAAAATAAAAACCAGAATCACTTAGTTGGAAAAAGGATTACCCCCTTTCTACAAATGACTCAATCAGGTATAGCTAATCACCTTCTCAATAGCACACAAAGCCATTTGACTTTCAGATGTGATCGGCTGCAGTAATTTTGATTAGTTCAGCATGAAAAGAGTTTTCCTGGAGTACTTCAATCCCTGGTAGCGCAACTGAAGCAAACAATCAACTATTGGGGCCATCATATAGGAGGAGTTTCTGATTCACTGCCATCCTAACATCCAGAGAGGGAGCCTCCACTAGATACAGAGGACTGCACCCACCTATCCCATAAAAAGGGAACTCTGGATGACCTTGATACCAGTGAATCCACACCTCAGAATCCATCCACCCATAGAGGAAAGGCTTAGGATTCCTACCATCATCCCATGATGACCATTTGATGACATCAAAATTAATTACTAACACGCATTTACGTGCACTTTCTGGTAAGTGCGCATTGCTTATACACTTATATGCACATCCACCGGGTCCAGGAAGACGCATGATTAATGAGCACCATAGTCACCTGATAAACTCTTATATGATTTATCAACAATCAGTATTTTTTGTTTATATGCTAACTTATAGACATTGTTTTGATCTTAGCGCCGTACATCATTTTATTTTATTTTTTGAGGTTTTCTTGGTTACCTTGTGCTTGGCTGCTTTTAATTTAATTTATTCAGCTTCTTTTCTTATTTAGTTTCTTTGGGCGCTCACATCTACCTATTCTTTGCACCTTATACACTCACTGGCCACTTTATTAAGTAGACCTTGCTAGTACCGGGTTGGGCCCCCTTTTGCCTTCAGAACTGCCTTAATTCTTTGTGTCACACAAACTGTTGGAAACATTCCTCAGAGATTTTGGTCCATATTGATATGATAGCATTTTTAGATTGTAAGCTCTAACGAGCAGGACCCTCTGATTCCTCCTGTATTCAATTGTATTGTAACTGTACTGTTTGCCCTCACATTGTAAAGCACTGAGCAAACTGTTGGCGCTATATAAATCCTCTATAATAATAATAATAATAAGAGCACGCCTTTCTATCATCTTGAACCAGTCTGTCTATTCTTCTCTGACCCCTAACATCAACAAGGCAATTTTGCCCACAATCACAGGAATTTTTCTCTTTTTCGGACCATTCTCTGTAAACCCTAGAGATGGTTGGGCTTGAAAATCCCAGCAGATCAGCAGTTTTCCAAATACTCAGACTAGCTCGTCTGGCACCAACAACCATGCCATGTTCAAAGTCACTTAAATCCCCTTTATTTCCCATTCTGATGCTCGGTTTGAACTTCAGCAAGTCATCTTCACCATGTCTACATGCCTAAATGTGTTGCTGCCATGTGATTGGCTGATTAGCAATTTGTGTTATCAAGCAATTGAACAGGTGTACCTAATAAAGTGCAGTGAGTGTACATTTCTGACTGACTATTGCCTTCTGCAATCTGTACCTCACATACTCCTGACTAATGTGGAACTTAGAGCTTGTCCTCCCTTCCTCAGTCTAAGTCAGAATGCTATTGTAGTGCAGATTACAGGAGGTTAATATCACTTTATTCAATGCCATCCTAACTGCACATACACGATGGACCAAATGCATATGTTTTTATCACTCAATAACTTTGCAAATATTTGGGTCTCATGGTACATCTTCCAGGGTACATCAGACATAGGTCTGGCTCATGTGAGAAAAAGACTAATGCAGAGACGTCTCTGCGGTGATAATAACCCCATAGCAATGAATTCACTGGGGAAGTGTGGGCTGAGTACTGTGCACCTCAATATCAATCAAAGCCTCTTTCAGTCTGAATACCATCAATACAT